GATTGCTCGTCATGTAAGTCCTTAACTACCTCTACGTTACTATTTAACATTTCCATCTCATTCCTTCGTTTTTTGTAAATATGTTTTGGTTTTGGATCTGTACTCCTATATGCTTTAAGTTAACTTGTGCTTTTATTCGATAATATATTTTTCTGGCTGTTACATAGCTGTAATATATTAAAAATGAGAATTGAGAACACTGTCTGTAGTTGTTATCAAGCATGATCTTGAGGAAATTTGAATTTGTTTCTTGATTAGCCATGGATGGTACGATTTGTTTCTCTTGTTTTAGAACAACTTTGTATTCGTTGTCTGGGAAGACCTCATTCTTTAGCCACATTGGCTTCCTCCTATTCTCTTCTAAGGCAGACACTGATCAATTAATGCATCACTGCTTAAAATTGCCATTCATATAGAAACACAATACCTGTTGACATACTTTCTCTTGGTATGCCTCCCTGCAGGGTATAACCTTTGACCTTGACGATGAGATGGTTGCTGATGACAATGACCGAGAAGCCTTACAGGATATTGTTAACAACACTAAGTTAAGTGAAGGATATCTGACTCTTGCAAGGGATATTGAGATCATGGAGGCCAAAACGCCTGAAGACATCTACAAGGTAAATCAGTTTTAATGGATGTTACACCTGCAAATTATGTTTATGTTTTACTCTGTCTTTGACCTGCCCTTTTATATTTTGTAGGCCACTTGCTCGATGGTAGGGCAAGCTCTCGTGCAAACGTGGATTCTGCTATACAGAATTTGGCTGCTATCTTTGTCAATACATTTGTAAATGCTGGTTTTGGTCACGTATGATTGCAGATTTTCATAACATGGATTTAGTGGCGGATTTGTCCTCTTAATAAATTTGTTTATCACAGGACAAACTAATGACAGTACCTTCAGACTCAACCACGGGATCTTCTGGAAATTGGCTATTCAAAAATAAAGAACATGGCAAGACTAGTGCAGCAGCTAGTCTGGTATACCTTTTCTTACTTGATGAATTTCTTTGCTGTGTTCAGATCATGGAAATAGAAGTTGTAACGAGATCTTCTTGTTTCGCTATTACAGGGTATGATTCAACTGTGGGATGTGGACTGTGGACTATGGACTTTCCCAACTCGACAAATACTTCCATAGTAATTATAATCCTATCATTGCTGGAGCACTTTTGGGAGTTGGGATTGTTAATTGTGGCATTAAGAACGATTGTGACCCTGTAAGTTGATGTCATGTTTGATTTTGCGAGAACCACTGGTGCTAATATTGGCTGCCATACTGTAATGAATGTTCTAAAACACTGAAGTATAGACCCACCGACAGTCTTCTTCTCTCTCCTCACGAGGGCGAAAAGGCGATCGACCAAAACCCGTTTCTTTCCAAACCGCCGGCGTCGATCTCGACGACAGTAACCACGGCGCTCCATGGGGAGACAAAATCGCTCTCGCCACCTAACACCTCCGCCTCCACCTCCTCTCCCCCCCGACCAAAATCCCCCTCCTAAACCATCCCAAATCACGACCGATCCACCACCGCAAATCGTTGCTCCAGCCCCATCGGAACCTTCGTCTCCACCGACGAGGACTCAAACTCCCCAAATCTCTGAAAACCAGGACCCAATAATCGGTGCTGAGCCTGCCATAGCTCCATCATCGGGTCTCTCAGTCACGGAGAATCCAGGGTACACGGCTGAGATCAACCAACTTCGATATCAGCTCCCGGTACCAGAAATCTCCTTCGCTAAGGCTAGAGCAGCAATTCCGAAACCTGCTTGGACTGACCTTTTTAAAGGTCTCTCAGGGAAGATGAAGAAGAAGGGTACTCCCTTCCTTTTGGA